TGCTTTTCCTCCAATATGCCAAGTGTAGTCTGCATCAGTCAGTCTACCGAGATCCTCTTATGTAAAGCATGGCTTCTTGAGTCTTTGCTCAAATGTCACTTTATCATATCAGAGAAGTATTCTTTGATTGCACATAACAAAGCAACCTCCCTTCTCCAGTATTTAACATCCCCTTTATTCAATTTTCTCCATAGCACTTATCTGGCACACACACATTGTTTACTGTTTTACTTCACTAGAATTTAAGCTTCATGAGGCTAGAGACTTTTTTTTTCTTCAATTTACTATATGCCAGCTTTCTAAAATAGTGCCTGAGAAGTTGTAGGAGCTCAATAAATATTTCTTAAATAAATAAATACTGAAATCCCTAAATCTCTTTGTGGGACTCTATACCTAACAAGATAGAGGTTGGAGATGGTACTGCACAATTACAGTCTCTGAATTCCAAGCTATAAGCATTTTCAGAAGTCCAGGAGTAAATTTAAATCTAATTTGAAAATTGCATTGATTTTACAACTTTCTGGAAGGGTCTTAGTTTCCTAAAGAGAAAGCAAGTAAGCGCCATCTAGTGGCAACAAGTGTGTTGGGCTTCTCTCGTGACTCAGCTGGGAACACATTTCTGTTACTTGAATTATTGACTAGCAATGACATTGAAAATGTAGCCCTTGATCCAGAAGCTTTTTTAAAAAAAAAAAAATTATATGAACATAATAATTATGATAGCTGGAAGTTCTCAGATTTGAATTTTCCACAGGCTATGTTGAACTGAATAGTTCCTCTGTCTCCTTGCTATGAGAAAGTAACATTCTGTTTCTTCTAAATAATTTTTTGACTCACTTTTGCTTTTTTTTTAAAGTTTTGTTTTTCAGAATCTGGCATTCATTGTTCCTCTTTGCTTTTTTTATTGTTTTATCCTCTACTTATCCTTAAGCTCTTACATTGGTACTGGCCTAGCTGCTGAATGAGTAAATAAAGTCTCTACTTCTAAGAATTTATAATCTTATAAAAACAGCACTTATGAGGGTAAACATGTAAAAAAAGATGCCAAATGATGCGATGATCTCTTCAGGCCAGACTTCTGAAGCCTGCTGAAGCTTAATTGTTGTGTATACTTTCACTGTTGAGGCATAAACCACATCTTACAGTTGTCTCCCTATTGGCCTTGCCATGTAGTGGGTGAAGGTTAAATATTTATGGTGGTAATGGTAGAAAGACTACCAATAATTGTCTCACCTGAGCCCAAGATATCTGGGCCCAAGATACTTTAGCCTTAGTCTACATTTGGGGGAGCATTTTTTCAGCTGGCTGTTAGAGAAATTAAACTATTTGTTAAGACTTGTTCCCTTGTAAAATTATAACATTTTTAGGTCTACTAGTATCATTTCCCTTTTTTTTTTTTTTTGAGTTGTGTTGCTTATCATTTACTGTATATCTTTGGAAGCAGATATAGAAAGGGATAGTATAATAGTTTTAAGATGCTACTAAAATTTAAAAAAATAACCAATTTTCTGTTACATAGTTATTTTAGAGTTTTTCCTTCTGCCTACAGATACTGATTTTTTTCCTTAAATTGCAGATAAATAGTTTCTTTGTAATATTCAGTCTTTTTTCTTGAGAAAATATCTTTTAATTGCAGAAATGAATGTGGTAGTTTGAATAGTATATTTTAAAGCTAAAACATTCCACATATTATTTCCTTTTAAAGGGTAAAACAAATGTTGTTTCTAAATCTTCTTGCTTTCCGAAGCTCTATTTACATAATTTAGCATATGTGGTTGTTGCTCGGCCACTAAGTCGCGTCCAACTCTTTGTGACCCCATGGACTGCAGCACTCCAGGATTCCCTGTCCTTCACTATCTCCTTGAGTTTGCTCAAACTCACACCTATTGAGTTGGTGATGCCATCCAACCATCTCATCCTTGGTCACTGCCTTTTTGTTCTGTCCTCAGTCTTTTCCAATGAGTCAGTTCTTTGCATCAGGTGGCCAGAGTGTTGGAGTTTCAGCCTAAGCATCTGTCCTTCCAGTGAATGTTCAGGGTTGATTTCCTTTAGGATTGACTGGTTTGATCTGCTTGCAGTCCAAAGGACTCTCAAGAGTCTTCTCCAGCACCACGATTCGAAAGGATCAATTCGTTGACACTCAGCCCTTTTTGTGGTTCAAATCTCACATCTGTACATGACTTCTGGAAAACGCATAGCTTGGACTATAAGAATCTTTGTTGGAAAAATGATGTCTCTGTTTTTTAATATCCTAATCTCTAGGTTTGTCACAGCTTTTCTTCCAAAGAGCAGGCATCTTTTAATTTCATGCCTGCAGTCACCATCTGCAGTGATTTTGGAGTCCAGGAATATAAAATATGTCACTGTTTCCACTTTTTCCCCATCTATTCACCATGCTGTAATGAGACTGGATGCCATGACCTTCATTTTTTGATTGTTGAGTTTTAATCCAGCTTTTTCACTCTCCTCTTTCACCTTACCAAGAGGCTCTTTAGTTTCTTTTCACTTTCTGTCATTGGAGTAGTATCATCTGCATGTCTTAGGTTGTTGATATTTCTTCCAGCAATCTTGATTCCAGCTTGTGAGTCATCCAGCCGGCATTTCGCATGATGTACTCTGCATAGAAGTTAAAAAGCAGGGTGACAATACACAGCCTTGATGTACTCCTTTCCCAATTTTGAACCAGTCAGTTGTTTCATGTGAAGTTCTAACTGTTGCTTCTTGACCTGCTTACAGATTTCTCAGGAGACAGGTAAGGTGGTCTGGTATTCCTATGTCTTTATGAATTTTCCAGTTGTGATTTACCCAAAGGTTTTGGCATAATAAATGAAGCAGAAGTATATGTTTTTCTGGAATTTCCTTCCTTTCTCTGTGATCCAGCAAGTGTTACCAATTTGATCTCTGGTTCCTTTGCCTTTTCTAAATCCAGCTTGTACGTGTGAAAGTTTTCACTTCACATGCTGCTGAAGCCTAGGTTGAAGGATTTTGAGCATTACTTTGCTAGCATGTGAAATCAGTGCAATTGTACAGTAGTTTGAACCTTCTTTGGCATTGCCCTTCTTTGGGGTTGGAGTGAAAACTGACCCTTTTCGATCCTGTGGCCACTGCTGAGTTTTCCAAATTTGCTAACATATTGAGTGCAGCACTTTCACAGCATCATCTTTTAGGATTTGAAGTAGCTCAACTGGAATTCCGTCACCTCTACTAGCTTTGTTTGTAATAATGTTTCTTAAGATCCACTTGACTTCATACTCCAAGATATCTGGCTCTAGGTGAGTGAGCACACCATCATGGTTTTCCAGGTAATTAAGACCCTTCTTGTATAGTCTTCTGTACAGTTCTATATAGAAGAACTTCTTGCCACCTCTTCTTAGTCTCTTCTGCTTCTCTTAGGTCCATACTGTTTCTGTCCTTTATCGTCCCTATCCTTGCATGAGATATTCCCTTGATAGCTCCCAACTTTCTTGAAGAGATCTCTAGTCTTTCCCATTCTATTGTTTTCTTTTTTTTTTTTTTTACATTGTTCACTTATAAGGAAGGCTTCCTTATCTCTCCTTGCTATTCTTGGGAACTCAGCATTCATTTGGGTTTATCTTTCCCTTTCTCCCTTGTCTTTTACTTCTCTTCTCCTCTCAGCCATTTCTAAGGCCTCCTCAGACAATCACTTTGCCTCCTTGCATTTCTTTTTCTTGGGGATTGTTTTGGCCACCTCCTCCTTTACAATTATGACTCTTTGTCCATAGTTCTTCAGGCACTCTCTCTACCAGATCTAATCCCTTGAATCTATTTGTCACCTCCACTGTATAATCATAAGGGATTTGATTTAGGTCATACCTGAATGACCTAGTAGTTTTCACTATTTTATTCAAATTAAGCCTGAACTTTGTAATAAGGAGTGCATGACTGGAGCCACAGTCAGCTCCAGGTCTTGTTTTTGCTGACTGTATAGAGCTTCTCCATTTTTGGCTGCAAAGAACATAATCAGTCTGATTTCAGTGTTGACCATCTGGTGATGTCCATGTGAAGAGTTGTCTCCTGTGTTGTTGGAGAGGGTGTTTGCTAGGACCAGTGTGTTTTCTTGGCAAAATTCTGTTAGCCTTTGCTCTGCTTCATCTTATACTCCAAGGTCAATCTTGCCCTTTACTCCAGGTATCTCTTGACTTCCTACTTTTGCATTCCAGTCCCCTGTGATGAAAAGGACATCTTTTTTTTTTTTTTTTTCTGATGCTAGTTCTAGAAGGTCTTGTAGAAGATCTTCATAAAATTGAAACAGCTTCTTTGGCATTAGTGGTTGGGGCATAGACTTGGATTACTGTGATGTTGAATGGTTTGCCTTGGAAACAAACCAAGATCATTCTGTTGTTTTTGAGACTGCACCCAAGTACTGCATTTCGGAGTCTTTTGTTGACTATAAGGGCTGCTCCATTTCTCCTAAGGGATTCTTTCCCACAGTAATGGTAATCTGTATTAAATTTGCCGATTTCTGTCCATTTTAGTTCACTGATTCCTAACATGTCAGTGTTCACTCTTGCCACCTCCTCTTTACCATGTCCAATTTACCTTGATTCATGGACCTAACATTCCAGGTTTAGCATCCATCAGGATAAAGTGGTGATATTCAGAAAGGACATGCTAATAGGATTAGTAAGTAGGCTTTTTGTATATCCCAGCTCTAATTTCTTTGACAGTTGGTTGCTGTTATTTGTTCTATCATTTGGAGGGCCAAAATTCTCTTTATTTAATAGGTTTTGCAGTTTAAAGACTGCTTATAATACTTAATTGCTTATCTGAAAATTAGCAATTTTGCACCATTAGAATTTGTACTGTGTTTAACATTTCTCAAGTGTTAACTGTGCTTTTTAGTTACTACCATGTTCTCTCATTATGATGACTGAAGAGGCAATATTGGATACTTTGACTTGTAATTAAAGAAGCGTTGTTTGCTTATAATTACTGCAAGAGTACCTGAATTTTAGGTTGTATTAATTTGTCTTTTATAGAATATGCTGAGTTTCTACACTGCAAAGGAAAAAAATTTACAGATTTTGATGAAGTTCGCCATGAGATTGAAGCTGAAACAGATCGAGTAACTGGAATGAATAAAGGCATTTCCTCCATACCCATTAATTTACGAGTCTATTCCCCACATGGTAAGTAAAACAACAAAATTCCAAATTCTTGTCCTCAAAAATTTTTACTATGTATGTTAATTAACATACATTATTTATGTAAAGTGGCTTTGTTTTCTCTCAAAAAATCTTGGTGTCTAAGATTGTGCTTAGGTACTTCAGTAAATGATACAATCCATACAGCTCATAGAATTATTTATGGGAGTCAGGAGGAGATAATTTGTAAAAGAGAATTGAGTACATTATTTTACAAAGTTTTCTTTATGTATATTTTAAACTTTTAGAATTCCAAAGAAGAATGCATGAAAACTTCTATTTTTAGTATCTTCAGCTTTTGCAAAAATCTTAGAGGTGCATGGTACTATGGTTGAGTTTTCTTTAATGAATTTTCTTCCAGTCCTATATATTCTTATTTATTCCCTTCCTGAGGAATCAACTGTGATTTTTTTCTCCCAAGACTGTCAGTAAAAACTTATAAATTAGATAACCAATTCTTGGTGGGTAATACAGAATAGCCTCCAGAATGACTAAGATTTTGGTGGGACAGATTTTCATCTCTGATCTTCTCCCCAGCTCTGTTGCTTTTAAATTGGACCATAAAATGCTCAATTATGACTTCCCAAGAGGACTTGGAGCCAGGTGTATAGAGAGACTTGGAGCTTTTGTGTATAGAGAGAACGATAGCCGGGTCAGGGCTGGAGTCACTGACTTAGTAGTTTCCTGGGTTTCCCCAATGGGTCTGGCTGTGGAGACTGCACACTAGCTTCATGACTAACTGCTTTCCAATAAGCTAAGCGACTTGTTGCTGTTGTTTAGTCGCTAAGTCGAATGTGACCCTTTATGACCCCATAGACTGTAGCCCGCCAGACTCCTCTGTCCATGGGATTTTTTAGACAAGAATACTGGAGTGAGTTGCCATTTCCTTCTCCAGGGAATCTTCCCCACCCAGGGGTCGAACCTGTGTCTCCTGCATTGGCAGGCATGTTCCTTATAACTTAGCCACTTGGGAAGCCCAGGCTAAGTGGCTAACACTTTGTAAATAATTCATGATGCTTTTAAAAGGAAGGACAAACCTTACTCTGGGAATTTTTACACCATTTGAAGGGAAGTACAAGACAGACAGTATACTCCCTTATTGTTCCGTGTTTGAATTATAGGCCCCGAGTTACAAACATGGCAACTCTCTGAGAAAGCTATTAGGTATGCAAATCAGTGCTTCTTAAATTATGTTAAAATGATCATTTGGCCTAGCACAATCATATCATAAAAATAGAGAAAATTTGCAAAGCCAGTTTGAATTCTATCCTGTTTTATTCTATGCACATGTGTTGAAACTCTTCAGATACACATTATATAAAGCTCAGCTTGTTTCATTTCTATGAAAATAACACACGATTCTGCTTTGTTGATATCTTTCAGCATTGATAGTACATGTAAGACTTTTTTTTTCCCTTTCCACAGTGTTAAACCTAACCCTGATCGACCTACCTGGAATTACTAAAGTGCCCGTGGGAGATCAGCCTCCAGATATTGAGTACCAGATCAGAGAAATGATTATGCAGTTCATCACACGGGAGAACTGTCTGATTCTGGCTGTTACCCCAGCCAACACTGATCTTGCAAACTCAGATGCATTGAAGCTAGCGAAAGAAGTTGATCCTCAAGGTGAGTATGTGGCCCATTAGATGAGAGGGAATTAGTTTCAAATGTCAAGAGTTTGGGTATATTTCAAGATAATACAAAATCTCATGACTTAATTTCATTATCAGTTAAGTTGTTGTTATTTTGTTGCTAAGTTGTGTCCAACTCTTTTGCAACCCCATGTACTGTAGCCTGCCAGGCTCATCTGTCCATGGGATTCTCCAGGCAGGAATACTGGAGTGGGCTGCAATTTCCTTCTCTTAGGATCTTCTTGACCCAGGGATTGAATTCAAATCTCCTACTTTGCAGGAGAATTCTTTACCATTGATCGCCTTAGGAAGACCTTTACATTAGCCATTATTAATGTTGTTAGCTCTTTTGTATTTAAGATGCTGAAAGAAAAATAACTGGGGAATATAGTCTAAACCTATACACCCGAGACTGGAGCTTGAAACAAAGCAGGTGGGAGTTCCAGGTGGCTAGATGGGGAACATGACTGGGGCTCCTTCTTCAGCATTAGTGGCTTGGGAGAGCCAGAATATGGATTGGGGCTGGAATCTAGTTATAAAAGTGATACTAAAATCCCTGTCTCATAAGCCTTCTTGTCCTGAAGTGACAAGATCAGGTTATCTGATTGGAACAGAGATAGCACTTCCATCAGTGGAGTCTAGAGAGTGCAGCACAGTCATATTCTTGAGAAGTCCACACTTATTTCAGCTGAAGCTTCATCAGTTCAGTTCAGTCGCTCAGTCCTGTCTGACTCTTTGCGACCCCATGAACTGCAGGACGCCAGGCCTCCCTGTCCATCACCGACACCCGGAGTCCATCCAAACCCATGTCCATTGAGTCGGTGATGCCATCCAACCATCTCATCCTCTGTCGTCCCCTTCTCCTGCCCTCAGTCTTTCCA